GTGTGTGTGTGTGTGTGTGTGTGTGTGTGTGTGTGTGTGTGTGTGTGTGTGTGTGTGTGTGTGTGTGTGTGTGTGTCGTGTCGTGTCGTGTCGTGTGTGTGTGTGTGTGTGTGTGTGTGTGTGTGTGTGTGTGTGTGTGTGTGTGTGTGTGTGTGTGTGTGTGTGTGTGTGTGTGTGTGTGTGTGTGTGTGCCAAATATAAGAGCTTCACAAGATAGAAAAGTCATTAAATTGAATATTTTAATTTAGATGATATTTCGTGTAACGTCAAATGCAGGAATGGTTTGCAACTTTCTTGTTGAAACACACAAAGCACATATATAAGAACATAAAGTAAAAATAGTAATATTGTGTAACCGGTGCGATGAAAACAAATTTTTGCATTTTTGAGCAATTTTTTAGCTTTTAATTGAATCGCACAGTTCAATATATACCCAATAACTGCTCACGTTTATTTAATTAATCCACAATTCTATTTACTATGATATTGTCATTGCTAAATATGCAAGATATCACATATGTACCGCGTTTTCCTTGCAAATACGTACAAATTTCTGAATTAAAATACACCACACATTGATCAACACCAAAAATTAAAGCGCAACGATTCTGTATAAATATCGTCATTTTATTATTTTGCCTTAAAATATGCAACAATATTTTTATAAACGTTGCATTGTTATTCTACATTCGTTGTATCTTCAGCATTATATGAAGCTCCCGGTTTTCTACTTTGTCCTGTCCGCTGGAAATAGCGTTGCAATAACAAAAATTAAATGCATCGGATAATCCTACTGATATAATTTTTGTCTCGAAATATCGATTATAAATATTATAATCACTTATCTCGACCGATGGAATATAATGTAAGTTAGAAAACGGGTCACACGTCGATCAATATTAAAATTTCAATTGGCCGTTTTTATATGAGAGCCGAAACTTTAACCATTCACTCGCAGCCATTCGGTAGTATTTCTACTAATGCCATATGATCAACGCGACGTCAATATTCCATACATTTATCGCATTTGTCGAATTTACAAGGGTTACGTGCGCGTATATACAATTCCACTTTATCTCGCTCGCCAAAAATAATGGCGTCGATAAAAAAGTTACGTGCCGCAACAGAGGAGTAACGGTGACGCGAATAATTCCACGAGCTTTGGAACAAGCGACACCGTTATGTCATTTATCCGAATGACGAACATTGTGCATATACGAAATGCATAATGCAAACCTCGACCGATGACACTTCATGAGCTTATCAAAGAGGTCAATCTTTCTGGTTTTTCTACGCATCGTGTAAACCTCAACGTTGACTGCTAATCGGCAACTTTCTGTTTAATACATTAGGATTAGTCGTCGACAGCAGTCGATTTTACATAATGATATCTTCTTTGATGCATCGTTGTGAGGCTTATAAGTCTCCAATCATCGTACTCGAAAAATACTTCGGTCGTTTGAAAGTCTCCGCAGCTCGAAGAATTTGATACATTAATCCGAACGAGAAATCATCCGACGACAGGATTAATCTTACATTGATCCACGGCCGGAAATCACGGTGGAAGAGCGTGCAAATGCCGATTGATCCGTAATAACGAGTACATGTTCGGCTCTACATAAATTCCGCAATAAGTGAGTCTCCGATCCATCAATATTTTAGTCTTGTTTTGCCTGCGCCTTCGAGGAGAATTAAAAGAAATTTTGCATTGATTGAATACGGTCGTCATTACAAAGCTATCTTTGAGAAAGAAATATAAGATATATTTATATCTATGCCCATAAATTTCGGACGTTTAATTTTACAAGTAATATTCATTTCTTGTTTGAGAAAAAAGAAAAGTAACTACGCGCGTTGACGAATACACACAGAATTTTGTTGAAAAATCTAAAAATTTGGCTAAATACAGGTCTAAAAATAATTTTGTTGAGAGAATCAAAATTATTACGCAGAATTGCTTATGCCTATGCATGATGGTAATATTGTAAAGTTTTATGATATTCTAGCAATTAATTTTAACGTGCTATACAATAATTTTAATAGTCCGATAAAACTATTTTCAGATCTGTGTAAAATTTTTAAATTATTCAAATAGATCAGAATTGTTCTTTCTGTATGCTACACATTATTGTCCGTAATTTGTTGAGCGCTCAGGTGAGTGAGTAAGATGTTTTTTTTTTGCACAGTACATATAACAGTGTCGCGTTGATGGGGATGATTTAACGTTTGCAAATGCAGAGATATATCCCGTACTCTCGAAAGCGCATTACGTATTTATGTTTCGGGAAAGCGAGTATTCGCGCGCGCAAAATATTAACGCGCGGAAATCGGGTCACGCGGATGATAGCACATATCGACGTCTCGTTATATAACTCATTTATAATAATTTCGCATGATATTATGTTTATACGTCGCATTACTCTGTGTGAATTAGTAATTAGCGGTAACCAGTTCGGTGCCGCCACCGGGAGCTGATTAAACATTATTCCGTTTTACGATTATCATTAGCAGAGATTGAATAAAAATTGTATTTATCTGACGAAACGGATATGATTTAAAAGGAAACATAAATTAAAATTCTTACGTAACGCACGCTACTAAGGACTTACAGGAACAATCAAATCTAAACTTCGTAGAAGGTTAAATTCTGCTAGCTCATCTTTGACCTAAATTAAGAATTACACTTTTCTCATCGTAGTCGTGAAGAAAAAATATTTAGCAAAAAATTTTTGGATACCGTTTAGTCATAACTAATATAGAATGAAGAAGAAAGAGAAAGAACAATAAATACACTTCATGGATTTACTCGTCGTCATGTATCTTATCAGAAATACTACTTGAAACCGTGCCAGCTATAATGAGATTTGCTGCAGTCGAGGTTTTGCCTTGATTTCCCGCTTTCTCATCCAGTGTCGGTTTTTTATAAGCAACTCGTTGGAGTAAATAAATCCGATTTCATTAACAATCTAATCAGAAATAAAATTTTTTCTAAGAAAATATATATACAAATATATATCTGGTAAAAAATTTAATATTTGCAGCAAGACAGATCTGAGCATAATATTGTGTCAAGAGAAGTTAATATGTCCTAACAAGTGCTACGTATGTGTATAGTAAAAATAGGAATTAAAATAATAGTTCGAGAATAGGAAACAAAGAATAGTCGAGCAATATTGTTACGCTTATAAATAAAATCACTATCTTATGAGATTGCATTTATTTCTGAGAGAGAAAATAATTAAATTTGGCTTTATACGAATACAAAAAAATACTTTACGCAAAAAAATAATGCAAAAAAATCTGAAAAAAGATACTTTTTACGTCTGTGTGAAGCAAACGCGATGACTTCTATTTTCAACTTATGACTGAAACAGCAAGTTAAATATATATATGCTACTTTTTATATGCAATAATTTAATAAAATAGATAATTTAATAAAATAGAATAAGTTGTACGGCATTCGAAAATAGAGCAATCGCGAGAAAGCTTCCAAAAATAGTAGAAAATGACAGATTATATCAGCATAGAAGAGACAGAAAGCAAGATTACACCACATCTTATACGATTTGCAGTAATCGTATTTCCGTAATCGTTTGCATTCACGTGGAAGATCTCGGCGAAAATCTCCGAAGAGCAGTCGAAGGCTGCCGTAAATTAACCCATACATGCATTTGGGAAATCGTTCACGTAGGACAACCGTTTCCCCATCCTGCACATTTCCGGTCTGGATAGAATCGACAGAAACGACAGCAACGACGAGGACGATAGCGAGAGGCGCCTGGAATCCCGAAAGCTCCCGAATCGTTTCGTTCACCAAGATGCGCCATCTGGTCCAAGTAAGTAGAGCAAGTATGCTGACGGGAAAGACAGCAATTCCGGAAAATTGGGCCGAATATAATTTTTAAGAAATCGAGGTGAAATACGGATTCCTTTCGCGTATTTGCTCGCGCGTCATTGCTTGATACTCGCCGTCAAGCGAATTTCGGTCCCATACAGGTCGTTTCGAAATCGTCAAACGTATCTTTTCAATCACAAAAGTCAGAAAACGAACTGGGAAAAATGTTGAGCATCGCAATCAGAAGGAACATCTAAAATAGAAAATAAAAAAATGAGCTAATTCACTATAAATAAATCATAAATCTTTTTTCTAACCAGATTCATCTATTTTTACTTCCATCAAAATTTATAATTTAAATCTCAATTATGCAGAAATTTATTTATGTATTTATAATATATTTATAATTTAAGATTATTATATATAAGAATATTTCCCCTATGTTAAAAATGAAAAATTCTGAAATAAGCAATATCTGCTAAAAATTCTGACTAACAAAAAATTCAGCTTTAAATTTATAGCGAAATCTGTATTCAGAAAATATTCATCGGTTTTGGAGCATCCTGTACACATGTGTGTGTGTGTGTGTGTGTGTGTGTGTGTGTGTGTGTGTGTGTGTGTGTGTGTGTGTGTGTGTGTGTGTGTGTGTGTGTGTGTGTGTGTGTGTGTGTGTGTGTGTGTGTGTGTGTGTGTGTCGAGACGCATTACGCGTGCAAGTGGAATGGGAGGACGGGAAAAGGAGGAAGTTTCGAGCAATCGCGATAGCAAATTCACGAAGGATATAATACGAACCAATTCGCCCAATCAGGCAAATGCTGCGCGATGCGAGTTTTCCAAGCTATATTGACGTATCCACGGATTCGCCATATTTATATGGATATGCGCAAGGTAGGTTTGGTGGCTGAAATGATGGTTGAACGATAAGTCAAAATGATCGTTCGCAACTCCCATAATCGTACCGCCCTTTCGTAAATGCACATTACGACGCGTCGTAATTGTCACTTTATGACTTTCGATAATGATAGCAATGCGAACACAATTATCCCGAAGTGAAGATGTTGTCGATCGTAAACGCACTGAACACCTTGCTAATGACTTGCAAGCTAACGGCAAATCTGAGCGATGGAAGCAAATATATCTTACCCTGTATAAAGGATGTTCACGATAGAATTTATGTATAACAGTTTTACATACGTAACGACTCACGTGGAACGTAGAACAAAATGAGATAATCATTGAAAAATTCAACAATTTGTTCAGTACACATTGCAAGATTGTAATTATCTGGACTGTCGTTAAAATCACGATTCCCTGGCCGCAATATTTCTACTAAATGAAAACAAACGTCAGTGCTTTTAATCAGCGGAAACTGTCCTGCATTAATCGGAAAGTTATATCTACCTATCTACGGAGGAGTCGACTGCAGATTCGCATTCAGCGAGCATATCCTATCGCAATAATCATGACGCCCGGTCTATATGCATAATCTCGCATTGATAACTGCGCCGGTGTGTACTCTCAGACAGACGGCTGTGTGTACACACATGTGCACATATGCACAACCGAAGCGGATAACCGTGGGAGCACGTGCATCGTACGAGGAATAATAGGAAGGCAGTACTCTTCTCGTGCCACAAAAGTCGGTACCTACTCGACTCGTCTCGGCCGTAGACGTTCTATATTTTTATCGATTTCGTGTAAATCCGCCGAGACAATGTCCGACCATTCGTAAAAATCGTGGGTGCTACTACCATTACTAGCCTGCTCGCTCACAACGACAAAACGTTGTAACACATCGAGATCTTGTCGTAAAAACGCATCATTCAAAAAGTTTATCTTGTAGCGTTTAGATTGTAACGCGTTTCAAATTTTAACGCTTTTTCTAAAACGATAAAAATCGAGATGCCTTAAAAGAGATTGCGATACAATTACAGTGTAAAAATCTAATCAATATAATTTTGATTGGATATTTATGACGCACAAGTATTATTTGTAGGGAAACAATTTTTTGTAGGCATAATAATAATAATATGGACGACGTATTCATCTAGAATGTACACAGAGTAAATAAATAATTACTTAATCTAAAGTAGTACTCATATTTCTCCCTTACAACGTGAAACAATTTTGAAAATTTTATTCAATGTTTTTTTTTTTTGTAGTTATACACAATCTCGTAGTGTCTTCAAGAATCTTCAGTTACCGTGGAAACCTTTGAACGACTCCATCACCGTTGAATGAAGTCGGAATGGTAAGCGGTGAAGAGGAAAAGACATCAGGGAAATCTGGTGAGATGAGCTGGCCTTTTCCAAGAAAGCCTCGGCGAGGGTGTATATGCAAAGACGATAGTAAATTCGTTTCTTCCTTCACGCTCCGGTAAAACTAGCGCACGTTAAAATCGAGTTCGGCAAAGTTTTGGCAAAAGTGAATTTTGTCAGCTTTTTTGTTTGAGTGAGAAATTGCGATCTGTTCGAAACGAAATATTGATTAAAAGTGATTTATAGTCGTATAACTTTCAAAAGATCATTATAATTGTCCAAAAATCGAATATAATCTAATTTACTAAATAACAAAAGAAATATATATTAATTAAAAAACAGATAATAATTTATTCATATTATTATGCCTATACAAAAAATATTAGACAATAATTCTATCTGTTTTTATTGTCCTTATTTGTGTAAATTTCAATAAAATGAATCGTTAATTATTTAACTGTGTACAGTTCAGTTTTAAATATAAAACGCTTAAAACAACATGGAATTGTCGCAAAATATATGTTAAATTTGCTCATATCTCCCGGATGTTGAAGCACATATTAAGGACCTTATTTGAGGAACGCACGTACAGGCGTATTGTTGCACCTGCATATACAGAATATCGCGAGCTCCTCGAATTTCTTTTACATGGAGGGGAATTGTCTAGTTTCCAGGGGTCCATTCACCGACGGTTTGTCGCGCTTGACCCCTTCTGCAATTCAATTACACGCGGCTCCGGTTTCGGGCCACGATTAACATCCTTTTCAAAGCATATAAAAGGAGCACGTTTCGAGAACGGCGAGCAGATGTTGCATGCAGAAATGGTGAACACGTAAGAACGTATATATGAGTACGAGTATCGCTAAACAATAAATATTCTGTAGAATTAATAGAGTAATTCGGATCTTTAGATAAATAAATATAATATAATAAAATATAAAATATAATATAATAAATTTTTGTTAGTAGAACTAATAAATTCTAGTAATAATAATTTTTTAACAATTTATTACATTATTATTAAATGTATATGTAAGTATTGGAGGTATAAAATTAAACAATATTATAATAATCCAACAACAATATTATAATAATATTATAATAATCCTCGTAAACTCATTATCACCGCCATATAAAAAATTATATTATCCTATATCTACTTTATTATTCTAATCTTATTATTCTTTTATTTTATCGTAATATCGTCGAAGATATAGATAGATATAGATATAGATAGATAAAATCGATCGACTTGTCGGATGATTAAAATTTTTATTTCGTATTTTATATAATAAAAAAAAATAAAAAAAAGAAAACAAATCGAAAACATCGAATGAGAAAAATATCAAATGATAAATGACAACTTTTGATTATATTAAAAATTCTCAACTTTGCTAATAATATACATCAGCTCTGACATATATATTTGATGATTTAACAGTTTCATATTTTTAAATGTGTATAATAAATAAATTTTTAATCTATATTGTCTATGCTGTATTCTTTGGCATGCAGGATTTCATGCCGCATAAAGCAATAAAAAAATTAAGATTTTAATATATTATTGCGCAACAACGAATTTGAATTTGAAACAGCGGGGAATCGATTTGTTAAATGACTATTAACTGTAAATTGAATGTCTGAACTGCTGGAATTAATTAATTTCACATTTACTCAGCAGTTTTGTAACACAATGAGACTTTTGTTACAAATGTGTTCATTTCTATTTCTATCTCAAGTTCGTTCTCATCGATCAAATTCTCTCTTCTGAATTTTTTTTCGTGCGTTCATATGATTTCAGAATCTCGAGTCGATCGGAGCGTTAGTTGGTCCAACAAAACGTTGAAAGAGTAACATAAACGAAGGGTCGGCAATCTCTATTCGATCGGATCGGTCTCTTTCTCTCCCTGTCTTCCTCTCTCTAACCTTGCCTCTCCTCTCTCTCTCTC